ATTTGATTTTAGGCAACACTATGTCTACTAAAAGGGACTAGCTGCAAGGACCATGAAAAAGCATTAATTGATGGGAGCAGAGAGTCTCAAGATGGAAACACAGAGGAAGCACACCTGTAGGCATCAGCAGAAGAAAAGGAGGAAAGTCATCATCACTGACTAGCTGTTTGACAGAGATTGCCATTAAAGAATTAATGGTGATGAGCAGCATCAGTGTGTCCTTTAGCTAAGTGTCCCTGCAGCAGCTTCTAAATATTTACAAACTTACTGATCCCAGACCATCCTCAAGGTAGGGTAGAAGAGAGTGTGACAACTCCAGTCACCAAGCATGAATGAGAAATACCATTTCTCAGATGTACTGCAGGGCACCACAAAGCAATAGCTATCATCTTAGCACACTGCAGTTTTAAGAAGTGACACAGCTACATGATTGGTCTGACTAGAATATTTTAACCCAGGGAGAGAAGTACCTTAAATCTCATATTCTTGCAAAGTACACATCACCTCATGATCTGGTACTGAAACTTTCAGACCATATTGTACCTCTACTTTTCTAGGTGATTTAAAAAAACAAAGGTGTTTTCCATTTTAAAATTATTTAAAATTATTTGGACCATCTCTCAACTCCTTTATACTTGTGTGGAACAGGAATAAAATAAAATTAATAACATTATCCCAATGTTATGTTGTATCTACATAAGACCTATTCTTATCATGTGTTTCAGAAATCTTAAAGTAATTTCTAGTCACCAACTAGTTTTTGATTAACCTCAATCAATTATAGTTAGCAACCATTTTCAGATCCTGCATTTGTCTTTTACTCAAATAACTCCCATTAAAACAGCGTAACTAACCCCTTTACAGTTCTTTCCTGTTTGTGTCTCATAGCCTATTCACAAAATGAAACTAAGGATGTCTGATTAGAGCAAGAAGTACATCCTTATTAAAGGGAGCCTAATCCAAAACACACTTATATTTTTCCACATTGGCATATAGGTTAAAAATTGTATTTTCAGTCTTAACCAAATCCTCTTGAGATAATGTAGTTTATGTCTCTGAAACCAGAGGTCCTTATTGGTGTCTTCTAACCTGTCCTGAGAGAAGGACATAAATTGTCTTAGCACTAGCAGAAGAGTGTTTAGTCTACTTGATGGGAACAGCAAGTTCCCCTCATATAAAGTCCACAGTCTACAGCAGCATTCTGGAGACTCGGAGAGGCAGAAGAGGGACAGGTCTTCACTGACAGAGACATGTCACTTTGGTTCCATGGTATGCTAGCTGCACACAGGATAGGCAGTTGGCATGCAGCATGCATGGGGCACATTGCCCTGGTTCTTTCCCCAGCTGATCATTTTGGAGAGACACAGTCCAGCCTTCACCAGAAAGTCCCAGATCTGACCAGTCTGAAATTCACTTTCTGACTGGTCTGAAACTCACCAAGGCTGGCAGATCAGGCTCCCTGCCCAAGATACTATCCTCTTTTGAATATTTTTGTAAAACAACATAACTCAAATAAAAAAAAAGTAAGTAAATAAACCACAAACCCCAAACCAACCAAAACACCAAAAGCACACACAAAACTCCTGCCAAACAGGTGTTCCCACCCCCTCCTTAACATTAAACACAGCAGGAGACCAGAGCCACTGTTTTCTACACTTTTACCCATGTATTTGTCCCTTGTGGTCTGACTTTGCAATTTAGGATGCACATTTTCCCCCAGTCTCATTCCCAAGCCAGCAATTGTTCTGGTGTTTGGGCTGTGAATGTGGGTGCTATGGCAGGAAGGCAAACTCAGGTCAGGTCATGAGTGTGGAAGAGGGAGTTTGGCATTGCATGATTGTCACTGTGTATGTGTCACTGTTGCAGCGATGTCTACATTAGAAAGATAAGGAAACAAATAAAAAGAAAAATACTTAGCTATTTTCCCCTTCTGAACAGTGTCCTGCTAGCCACAAGATCCCATGGCACCCAGTGAATGACCAAGGCTATCACACTTTGAAATGTTCCTGATTTCCTTAATTTGTTTTGGTTTTCCTGTTTCAGCAAAATGGGGAGGTATGGGCCAGTTAGGAGAGGGTTGGAGAGGATGAGAAAATTTTTTAAAAAAATAATAATAAAAAAATAAAAAAAAATAGAGAGAGGGAGAGAGAGAGAGAAAGAAAAAGAGTAAGACATTCCCCGGGGCTCTGATGATAGCATATTGAACTTACTTGAAGGATTCACATTGAATGCAGCACAGTTTGGGTCAGTCCCCCTCATGTACCATGGAGGTTCTGCAGTCCTTGGAACTCAGTATTATTTCAGTAAATCTGTTAATGAGTCAGTATTGTTTAAATGAATCTATAAATGTTTGGTTGTGTTATTATTTATACATATTAATATTAATGTATTATTATAATACTGCATTTAAAAGAAACTCGCATTTAGTTCAAGCCTATACAGTCCAGGTACAGGAAAAAAAATTGTGATATGTGTTCAGTAACATATTTGGTGCTGTGCAACGATTCTATAGAGTGCATTTAACTGTATTTTGTATATTATTCTTAACATGCATTCACAGTAGACAGCAAAGCAGCAGTTATCGGGTATGCTGTGAATGCATATTAACAGCAGTACCTATTTGCATATCATGGATCCATAATACAAAACGCGTAGTAAAATCCTTATGAAAAGTTATTATGCATGCACAGTAGAGGCTTTTTAAACCTTGATATCTCAGCTATTTTGTTTCTCCACAATTTATTTGAAAATATTAAAAAGGTCAAATGATGGATTAGGAATGTGTGAAACTGTAATATTACTCCTATAGAGGGAATCATTCAACACAAACAAATTCATTTTTGGTTTTACTAGCAGTATAAAAGCTGTTCAAAAATGCATTTGAGCTGTTTAAAAAAATAATCATCCATTTCAATAATATAAAAGGACGGAGAAAATATTTTCATGTATTTTGGATGCTGTGTGGTATAACTGAAAATTTTGTTTGTCCTTCCCTAAACACAGAACTATTACATTGTCAACCTTTCCTTCAGTATCTCGTGGTATTTTTAGTATGTATTGAAATAGTGTTGGTTACTCTAGGACTTTTAATTTTTAGATTATCATGCATTTTTTAAAACTTTGAAAATGCAAAATCCTTGAAAAGGTTGACAACCCCTAGAACCTTTAACAATATAAATCTTAATACATAAATTCCTACTGAGGATAATGGGATTCTACTCTCTCCTTTGTTACACACATTTTAATATTTTCAGTAAATAAAAATTAAGCAAATGCTATGAATAGTACAGCACTTGCTGGTTTTGAGCAGTTTCCCCTTAAGTTTTAACATCTTTGTCACTACAGATAAATTTTCCTCAAAATACAAAAACTAAAAATTAAAGCCTGCATATTCTAAGGAATGAGTGAACTGAATGTCTTACTTCTTTAAAATAAAACAAAAACAAAAACAAACCTCAAGTTTTGGGGTTAAGATTTTTTGATGAAAGGCTGTAAAATCATTGAGCACATACATATAAACGTATAAAACATCATCTTCCCACACACGTGGTGTTCTGTCCTGCAGTCTTATTTTTTGTTCCCTTGTCTAATCAAAAAAAGTCCCGACATATTTAAATGAAACTTTGTGAAAGAAAAAATAATTGGATGAGGGCTGAGAACATTAATGCCAAGGTTTGGACCAATGTGAATTAAAGCAGATGAATTATAAACCCTTCAAAACCAGGATTTATAATGGAAATGCTGTCATGGACCCGTAACAATAGCAGCTCTGCCAGGGATTATTTTAATACAAAAAGCATACTCAGTCACTCATTATTTTAATATAGAGATTATTTAGTTACAAAAAACAGTGATACACAATAATAATGAAACCAAATTTAAAAAACAAAATGTTTCTAAGGTGACACATCATTCCCCCTGTAACTCTCTTGATATCACTTATATGTGACATGCCACTCCTTAAATTAAAAAAAAAACCAAAACACAAACCCCTAACACATGAAGGTGGAGTTTGTCAGAAGCTCCATGGCAAGGCTGAGCTAAGAGTCTTTGTCAGCTTCATTTAACAGTGTTTTGCCAGCAGAAAGAGATAAAAGGGTTAAAGGAGGAAGAACAGGGAGCACAGGAGAGGCAGCCGACAGGAGAAACAAGGGCATGAGGAAAGGAGAAGCTAGGTATGAAAACAGAAGAGCAGGGGGAGATTTTTAGGAGGTTTCCGAAGGGAATAACTCAGTTTTTAAGGAGATATTGGGGAAACATTCACGAAAAGGCCAGGCAGACTGAGAAAATATGGCAAGGGCCAAACCCTTCGAGAATCCGAAGTTACGTTTTTTGAGCAGGTGCACCCCAGTGACATTGCAATGTGCCAGAGCAGGTCAGGGACCAGCGAGCCTTGCCACATGTTTCAGAAAAAAAGGCATGATTTGTTAAACCTTCATGCTGTATGTCCAGTTTTCTATAAATGCCTCTTTTATTTTGCAGTGTCAAAAAACACCAAGGGATGTGAAGGAAGGATTTCTTACAGATGGCATGAGGTTTGCTCCTATTATTCTGTGCTCTGGGGCAACAAGCTGTACTCGAAAAACCCCCACACTCCAAAAATCACACCCAGCAGCATCACACAAAAACTACTTTTGTGACTGTGCTATGCGTTATAACACCAGCGTTACTTCCCCATTGCTGCCTTCCTTTCCTTGCCTTTTCTTTTTTGTCCCTGGGTACCAGGTGCACTGGAGGGACTCAGATCAATACAGGACAGCATTTCTCATATAAACAATGCCATATTAACAACCAGAGGGCAGCTGTACCTGTAGGCAGGGATAGCACCAAATGCTGGCATGTCTATCCATGCAGCTAGACTGCTAAAAAGAAGCAACTACAGTGGAAATGCACCTACTGTATGTGAAATGCTGGTGCAGAATTTTTTTCTTTTCCTTTTTTTTTTTTTTTTTTTTTCTATCGGTCTAACCTTCTGTGTTGATACATGAATGCTGGTACCCACTTAGAGGGATGCCAGATGATCAGTGCAGAATGAAGGTCCCAGGAGAAAGGCTCACGTGGTTTTCTCTGCCCCGTGACGTCACTAGCAGATGGCATGGGTACCAGCTCTGGCAGTTGGCATCAATGTCACTTTTTAGAGATCAATGAGATAGTGCAGATACACACAGATCTAGACTCCAGCAGACGATGCGACATTCAGACTGAAAAGATTTGGAAGGCAAAAAATGAAAACTGATTGTTGAATGAAATAAAAAGCTAAGGTAATACAAATAAAGATATATTTCAATTGGTGTTGGGTGTGCATGCAAGTGTTTAAAGATACAGTATCATTGTCTTGTATTTTGTGTATGCTATTTGCTGTCTAATAACTCCTAACATTTTATTCTTCTGATGCAATTACAAACTTTCATTGCTTTTATGTAATGCTGCAAGTGTGTAGACAATACTGATAGAGTTAGTCTTTGACTGGGGTTTTTGTTTAATTTTGCTCTGTTAAAAAGTCCCTGCATTTACTTTGCTTGTCTCTTTGAAGTCCATGGGATACAAGCTTTTGCTGCTCCCAAACTGCAAACAAAAGCAAAGTGATTGGGAAAAGGAAATTATTTTTCCTTTCCAGGCTGGATTCTGAGCACACGTGCAGGATTACAGTCAGAATCTACAGACCGCTCCTGTCAGCTAAGAGCTGGAGGAAGACATCTGAGCCTCGCAGAACATAAACACTGCTATAGCGTGCAGGGAATTTTTCACCCTCCCCCCCCCTCCCATTGATGGGAAAGAAAAAAAAAACGGAGAAAAGAACAAGAAAAAAAAAAGCAAATAAGTTGATTCTAACTAAAGAGATAATATCAAATAGAATTTTTGCTTGAAAAAGGGGGAAAAAAAAAGGTAGGGGGATTTTATTTCCTAACTCAAATCTGAATACGTTTAGGGTTAAATAACTCTGATTATTGTCTAAATATGAAATACGTATTATGTGATTTTAATACAAATAACTAGGAAAAATGCATTGTTTTGAATTATATTACTAACTGAGTGATTTGGGGGGGGTATATTCCATTTTTTTTCCTTCTCAGCCACTGTAACTTACTAAAGTTTAATATCTTGATACATAAAGGAAGAAATGTGGAGGGGAAAAACCCATAATTTTGAAGTATACGTCAAAAAGTAATTTTAAAATATTTACCATCAGGTAATAGAGATATGGCACTTTTTCAATTTTAAAACTGCACTCCCTCTCCTCATTTTTCCACTCAGGGGAATTTGGATTAATGAAATTTCTGTATTGCTTTGTCACGTTTTGCATTTCTTTGAATTCCATGATGGTGAGAGTTTGAAGGGTTTGTTCAAAAATAAAATAAATTACTAGGGAGATAATTGTACATTTAAAATATCGATTTACTCCATATTTATCTGTGAGAAATGTTGATTTTTAGTTGCAGGGTCAAATGTTTCAAGTGATTTTAGAATTCTCAACAGCTATTATTTTTTTAAAAGTGGGCATTTGCAACAGCCATTTTATTAAAAAAATATAGATTGAGCATTTATACACACACACTCTCTGTCTTATACAGAAAGCTTACACACAGACACAAATAAGGTGCATGAGGCTGTCTGTGTGAGTCGGGAAACTTTAAAAATGGAAATATTTAAACATTGTGCTGGCATTCTTTCAGGTAACTTAAGATTATAGAACCATGTTAACACTACCATTTGATGAGTCTGTTGTAATGCCAGAATCCCAGATGTGTAGGAAGTTTCCCAGAGAAAGTGATGACCAAAAGCAAATGAAGAACCCAGAAAGCTTTTCAAAGCAGATCATCCTCCGAGGAAAGAATATTAAAAGATCTCCTGGAGAAGACACAGAAAAAGAAGAGGAGGAGGAAGAGAGAGAAGAGGAGGATGAGAATGGCTTGCCAAGGCGAAGGGGCCTTAGGAAAAAAAAGACGAGCAAGATAAGGATGGAAAGGATTAAATTCAGGCGTCAAGAAGCCAATGCTAGAGAGAGGAACCGTATGCACGGCCTTAACGACGCTCTGGACAATTTAAGGAAAGTGGTCCCTTGTTATTCTAAAACACAAAAACTGTCCAAAATAGAAACTTTAAGACTAGCCAAGAACTATATTTGGGCTCTTTCTGAAATACTGCGAATTGGCAAGAGACCTGACCTGCTCACCTTTGTGCAAAACTTGTGCAAGGGTCTGTCCCAGCCAACTACAAACTTGGTGGCGGGATGCCTGCAGCTGAATGCCAGAAGTTTCCTAATGGGCCAGGCAGGTGAAGGTGCCCATCATACCCGCACACCCTACTCCACCTTCTATCCTCCCTACCACAGCCCGGAGCTTGGCACCCCCCCAGGGCATGGGACTCTTGACAACTCTAAGTCCATGAAACCGTACAATTACTGCAGCGCTTATGAGTCCTTCTATGAAAGCACTTCCCCTGAGTGCGCCAGCCCACAGTTTGAAGGTCCCTTAAGTCCTCCCCCAATTAACTATAATGGGATATTTTCCCTGAAGCAAGAGGAAAGCTTGGACTATGGCAAAAATTACAATTACGGCATGCATTACTGTGCAGTGCCACCCAGGGGTCCCCTTGGGCAGAGCTCGATGTTCAGGTTGCCTACAGAGAGCCACTTCCCTTACGACTTACATCTGCGCAGCCAGTCTCTCACCATGCAAGATGAATTGAATGCAGTTTTTCATAATTAATGAGGAAAATGAAAATAAACAGTGGTCATTCACCTCCCCATCTAATTAAGAGCAAGCAGATGCTTGGGCACTGCGTAATTGGCACAATTCTATTTAAAATGTTTACTAGTTCCTAAAGTGTGTTTCAACTATTGTGAGGATTTTCTATGTATTAAAAAACCCTTTTTATTATAAGTATTTTTTTTGTCTGTAATCACTGTGAGAATATGTTTCCTCCCAGGGGTTTCCTCCCTCCTTTTTAACTTTTTATTTCCCTATTTTCTTGATTTGTTGAGCAGTGTGTCTGAACAATATTATTGAAATAAAAGCGTACACACTGTGTAAAGTCAATGTCTATTTTGACTGTATAGTAATTATACAAATGCATGTTATTGAAATCAGATTAATAAAAATTATGTATTTATAATTGGTAGAAAATATATATTATGTATTCAAGGAGAACTGGATTAAAAATATTAAGAACTTTAAAGTAATTATCCAGAACTGAGATGGGCTTGCAATATGCAGAGGTGAGAGGGCAGCAATATTGAAAGCTATGCAAAAAAAAAAACCGGCAAACAAACAAAAAAAAAAAAAAAAACAAAATCGTTTTTGGGTTGTTGGTTTTCGGTAAACTAAGGAAAAACAGTGATTGTCATTAACATTATTCAGCCTGACTTTAGAGTGTTGCTGACAGGGGCCACATGATCATATTTAGAAGATGTTGTCAAAAATTTGCCTCAGTTATTTTGACCATATATAATCAGCACTTTTTATTTGTATTATTATGACTTCAGATGTAAAGGTTTGTTATAAAAATGTATAACTGTGGTTTCTCACTACGTACTTAAAATGCAATTAAAGATAGATGTTTCCACTTTTAAAATACATCTATTAGCTGTGATACTGTATTTCGTCTGGTACTTATTATTTCACAGTATACAGCTGCCTTTGGTCTTGCTTACACACGCTTTTCTTCCCAGCACACTCATAATGCTCAAGTCTGGGGTTGGAAATCAAGAATTATTAGGGTGAACCTCATGCAATTTTCAGAACGATGTATTAGTGATGCAGTAGATTCAAAATACCACATAAATAGCTGTGTGCTAAATGCAGGTTAATTGCTCAACACAGGTTATGGGAAGAAAGTAACTTTATATCACAATGAAATGCCAAATTTCATATGGGGAAGGGCCCTGAGCTAACACATAGGACACTAGCTGCTCATCCAGCTCTGGATCGTGGGGGAGTGGCAGGAGCACAAGAATGATAAGAACTTCAGAGAAAAAGAATTCCTGGACACTGCTAAACTTAGTGCTGACTAAAAACCAGCACCAGTAAACTACAGATGTGTATGCAACCCACACTAGTTCGGCAGCTACAGAGGTCTGCACAGTCCTGCACACCTTAAGAGTTGAGCTTAGCTGAGCCTCAGTTGTTTTCTAACCATCTAGAGCTATTTATCTATAAGCTCATGAATGATAAAATGAATGAACCGTTGATCTAAAAGCCAACAGTCTTTAAACCTCTGAATGAGCAAGACCTCTTTATTATGATGGATAACAGCAGCTGTCTGACATGCAGAAGTACTCTGCTCTGAATGAGGAGGGAATACTTTTCTAAAAGCTGTACAAAAAATGCAAATTTCACATGCAAGTTGGAAGCTCCTAGCTGAATCACAGTCTGGGTCACAGTTTGTTAATGACACATCAATCTCAGAGCTTCACTTGAGTACACAGCTGGACAAAGAGGGGATGGGCCAATTTCTCCTGATAATTTGCCTAATGTCCGAGCAAGACTTGTTGTAAACAGTCTGCCCTACCAAGCATTGCTGCTCCCTCAGGACAACCACAGCCTGATGTTCATCTCTTCTTAGTAAGACCAGGCTGCCCCTGAAGGAAAGGGGTAACACATCCCAAAGTTTGTATCAGGGTCAGTTTGTATGCTTTCAGGTTTGCAGAGATAGAGGGACAAGCATGGGATTTTGTTCAACCAATACCCTCTCTAGGCACAAATATGATACCAAAACGGAGTCTTTTGGAGCAAAGTCTTGGGCCAAATTTTAGGGGTTTGGCTCAGGATCATTGCCTGTTTTCTCGGGGTCAGACATGGAAGACAGGGGCAGCCATGTTCCACCTTGGATGAAAGGTGTTGGTTGTGACTGTCAACTCAGAAGCATGCCCAGGTGTTCTGCACTGAATATAGGAGGGATTTGGGAGAAAAGAAGACTCTAAAATAGATTGCATTTGCTGTTACTCAGAATTAGCTGATATTTGGCAAGGCATGCAAAGGTGATGGGAGAGAGAAGGGGGAAGAAACCAGTCAATGAGGTGAAAGCACGCAATCTTGGGCACAGATTCACTGTGCACACTGAGAAATAATAATATATAACAAGGAGCTGTAGGCAAGAGAACCCAGAAACAGGGGATCATTTGTGGGGGGGAGAAATAATCCCCACTGAGCATTGGCAGCAAACTTATCTAATCAATTTTACTAAGAGAAGCCTCTTCTAGGAGGCTGAAAGTTCACCAGGTACTTCAGAGCTGCCTTGCTGCTTGGGGGGTGAGTCTTTGCATTAGTTGAGAGTGGTGTGGGGAGGCAGCTGTAAAGTCCTGCAGCAAGGGAAAGAAATGCTTAGCATAGTACATCCAGCAGGAACCCAAGGGGTGTTCAGTCTTCAGGTTCTGAGATCTGGGGGTCTCCAACTCTGTGGCCCTATATTAACTCAATAACTCATGGGCCAGTTCCTGTTTCCCCTTCTGGCAGCAGAGACAAAGGGAAAGGGGAAAAAAATCCCTGCCAGTTCGGATCTTTCTCGCTCACTCCACGACAGATGGGGAGGCAGTTTGCAGCCAGATTCCCCCTCTGGTAGCTCAAGGCGAGAACCACGCTTGCTCAGGGCATTGCAAGTTGGAAAGTCACTCCACAATAAATAATGGAACAAGTAATAGGAAAATATTGAGATGGCATAAAAACCCTCCAACGTTCTCTTTCTAGGAGGGTATGGATTATTTAGACATATGGAAGTAGGAAACTCCCTTGGGAGAAGGCTCTCTTGCATACTTTCTTTTATGCACACAACAAACATTTCTGTGCTCCTTTGCTGGCCATTCAGAGAATAAAAACATGCTCCAAGCTCTGACATGATTTATAAAAGCCTTTGAAGGTGCCCTATTTTAAAGAAAAAATCTAAGTACTAAAAATGGTCTGGTCCTTTAAAATCACAGGAATAAAAACCAATGGGTTTCTTACTCATTATCTCCATTTTTTGAGGTTTGTCTCCTTTCAATCCCTTTCATACAGCAAAACAAAACTGCTCAGTTCTGTGTGTCTTGTTCTCCTCTTCACTGCCTTCAATTTCTTGAGGATAGAATTATGTAAAAGAGCAATTGCTTCAGAAAAAATTAGGTGAGAAATTTCTATTGTTCCGTGTCCTTTAGCACAAAAATATTGAAACCTTCTGTCAGTTTTAGAGATGAGAACCCCAAAGCTGGCAGAAGAAGAGCTATTTCATATGTGGCTTTGTTACACAGTGGAACTCTTTGCCATTTATTATTTCCCAGAGTAACATTTTAGTGTGATTTTTTAAAAAGCACTGTGGTTTTTTTATGGTATTGGAAACACTAATTATTTAAGAATGGCTGTACTGGTTCAGATTAATCATCCATCTGACCTAATACCCATTTTTAATATGAGAGCATATAAAAATTGTCCAAATGTGCCAGAAGAGGGCAAGGAAAATATTTTTTTTTTACTAATAAAAGTCCTGGAAAATAAACAAAACATAACATTCCACTCTCATTGAAGACAGAGATGTGCCTGAATTGGAAAAAGGACCAGGAGACATAACAATATACTGTAATGTTAGCCCCCTTTCCTCTGCAGCACTGGACTCATCAGCAATCACTAAGATACACTAGGTAGTACTAGGTGGTACCACTGAACCCCATGCCAAGAAAACCTCATCCAGAGCACAATTTAAAACCAGTGGCCCAAGTCCCAGTCCTACAAATCCCAGTGAGACTACAAAGAGAGAGGGAGGGGAAGCCACTGCTTTACCAGACCTCAGTGGAGATCTCAAAACTTTTCTGAATTACAGTAGGGATACCCTTGTTTTAGGACACATCCTGATGATGGGCTCTTTGGGACTGTCTGCATTTTTTAATTTCATGGCTATTTTTATGAAGATTTTTAAAACATTTGGAGATTTCAGAAGCACGAACATGGTGGGAATTTTTTTCTATACTAACAATTCCCTCTCCCATTTTTTATCCCTACTTTATTCTTCTTTCTCTGCCTTGCCTATAGGGCTCTCAAATGGCAGCAATTAAGTGAAATGCCATCAATAAAGATGAATGAAATCCCAGTGCAATACATGGCAGAATTTTCCCTTGAAAAAGCAAAACTAAAAAGTCTTTGCATGGTTTTGCTTATCAGATTGTGAATCTAGCTTAACTGTGGTTATGTTTTATGGTCACAAGGTCAAAGCAGGTTTAATTCTAGTACCAAAAATCCTTCAACCTTTGATGTATAAGTAGCAGATACAGCGCTGCTTTAGGCTGAATTGTCAGGAAAGCAGCTTCCCTTACAAAATTTCAGCAATTTTTGAATTGAGAAAAAACAAACAAAAAAACCAGCCCTCAGTAATATGGCTGTGGGTCTGACCCAGAGCTGAACCATGGCAGCAGGTTTTGATTTTGCTCTGGAGAGACACAGATCAGCGTGGTGAACAGCTGGCACTGTGCCACTGCAGAATCTCAAGGGCAGACCTGTCATATCTCACTGATACAAATCTAACTACAGTACACAGGGCTGCCATGCAGAATCACACTCCCAAGCCTTCTCCACCACACAATTAGACCAGAGCAAGTCATCTCACAAAATTCTTCTATGCTATGCCAAAAGGATGGCATGTTTTCCTGCAGAGCTTTCTCCCTCATCTCAGGGGATGTGCAAGAATGAGCTAGGAAAAGGGAAAGGCAAATTTGCAAGCAAAAGAGCTCTGAGGGGAAAAATATTAATTTATTTTCTTTTTTCTTTTTTTTTTTTCGTAATGCCTGCAAGTGTGGAGTCCCTATGACTCACAACTGGCTTTGAATTGGCAACACTGCAAAGGTTGTTACAGAATGGTAAAGAGATTTCCTCCCCCTACTCCCCCAAAACACTATTTTCTTTTGACTGTTTCCTTGTCACTTGCTCCTTACACTTACACATTTATTCTTGTAACTGCATTTACTTGCATTATTTAATTCTATTCTTGCATGATTTAATTCTACACCATGTATGTAGAACGTATCTGGTTGTAGCTGAAAATCAGCACTACTTCAGGAGGTTAAAAAAATATTTGCTGGAAAAAAGTGATGCTTACGATTGTTCATTTTTATAGGATATTCAGTATATTCTCATACTCACCCCCGTGTTGTGAACATTGTACTTTCTGATACTCTGGGGGTTTTTTGCACTTCTGTATAACTTTGCTAAGCAGGTCTGAGGGTTTTCCCCCTCTGAGTATTTTTGCTTTTAATTGTAATTGATTAGTATGTGAAATAGTATTTTTGAAACTGATGACATTTCCTGATCAATAAGTATGCCCACATGTAAAATGTCAGTAATTCAGAATGTTTGGACATTCTGTTTGCAAATGCAAAATCTAATAATCAGCTGAATTGGAGGTCCTTTTACAGATAGAGAATATAGGCTAAACCACAGATTATATCCTAAATTTTGTATTCTTGAAAGCAGGAACATTAGGACTTGGGTCCACTTGGGTCTTGTTCTGTTGGAATTCAGCAGATACCAGATTGGAGTCTAAATCACATGGGAAGAGAAGCGTAGCCTTATCCACGATGTTATTTATTTACAGACACATGAGCAGATGCATAATGCTTAGATGCAACTGAAATGACATTTCTGTTGGGCAGACCGCTTGCAAACAAAGAGATTCTGACAGGATCCTCCTCAGAATCCAGGGGGAGGCCCACATAAATGCTAGTCAATATTTGCCCGGCACAGGGAGAAGTGCCTGTAGGAACAAAAGGCATTGTCTAGACATGGAGAACACCAGAAGCAGGACTCCTGCTAATTTAAATAATTAAGCAGTTGAGACTGCATTCCCAAATTCAAAGGAGACCTCAGGTCAGCCATGATGAAAAGCCCTTTCCTTCTGAATTTACAAGGAGGGCTGTTCTTTGGCTTAGCGTCTTTGTCTTGGTAACAGGCATTACTTTACAAAACTAAATATTTTCCCCACAATAGGTATAACAACCATTTTAGTTCACACCCATCAGTTTACATACAAAGGCACACCCACACCCATTAGGACAGATTTTGCAGGTTTCCAGCAGAAAGTGGGGAAAATAATTTGAATGCATGTAGTTATAACTATTTTGATGCCAAAATTCCAATAAATTTATTAATGTGCTAAGACGGTGAGTGAATAGCCATCCGATATGTACAGCCACAAGCTGTGAGGTGTTCAGATACACAATTCTTCAGTCCATGGATTCAAATTAGCCATAACCATCATGTTTCCACTACTCCTAAGTTTCATATATTCTTATTCTTACTACACTCCCAGTCTTTCCCTTATTCAATTAAATAATAGAAGCTTAGCTAAAACGATAAATCTGTCCTTGCGCCTCATCTCACACCCTCACTATAGGACAATCTTAAGATAACTAAGCCCAGAAATCAGAACGACAAATATTGCAGCCACAGGAACACAGTCCTAACATAACAAGCGATGCAGGATGTGAACAGACACCACCAGTATGACAACATCTTTCCCAGTGGATAGAGTAATAATTCAGTGCAAGATGCACTGCAGCACACAGCAGAAACACAGGTAAGGAAACATTTGCAAAGAAAAAGCAACTTTGTGGTCACAACAAATTCAGTTAATTACCTCCCCGGAAACAGCACATTATATGTGAGCTGGGGTGCTGGTCTGCTTTGCCTGGACAATATATCCCAAATCCAGCTCTGTCCATCCCCATTTTGAATGAGCTGGTTGCTTCACACAGCAGATCATCTACCCCAGAACAGTCAGTTCGGTCTTCGTGCTGGATTCACAGCCACTTCAAACAGCTGAGCCTGCCAAAGATGCCCTAGAGGAGATTATGCTGCTGCACCATACATCCACATCTTACTCAGTCACGGGTTCCCTGTACCCTCAGGTACTCACACAGATGTCAGCACATTCTGTAAACTGGTGACTCTGCCATGAGTAATGGTCTCCAGCACAGGCACAGCCTTATGGAAAAGCTCTTCATTTAAGATATGCCTAGTGGCCTCCATGAGTGATTAACAGTACACACTGCTTGAGTGAAGTATCTCACTGATACTGTGGTCATATTCCCTTAACTCTTTTTGCTACCCATGTGCTGAGATGTGTCCTCCCTTCAAATTTAGCATCTTTCTGGGCAAAAGTAACTCTACAGAACTAGTTTTGCTATACTAATTGTGTTATTAATGAACCAAGGCATAAGAGAAGATATTTTATATGGGACCACACACACTTCTGGCAGTCCCAGTCTACAAGCATACACTCACTGCCTTAAAGTCACCAACAAGTTGTCTGGGAAGAAATTTCTCCTCCAAAAAGGATATGTTATTGGCAAGGAAGGACTGCACACAAGGATGGATATCTCTGCTCAGATATCCTAGATCAGCATTAGACCTGCCCCTTCTCTTCTGCAGGCCAGTAAGTGTGAAGGTAGTAGTAGACAAAACAGAATCTTTGCTTGGTTTGTCCATTTCATCTGTGATTTATCCCAGTTCCTTCACCCTGAGGAGGTATTCTGGTCTCCAGTTCACTCCATTGCTCTGTGGCAATTTACTTTTAAATATCTAGAGAATTATAAAATAAACCCAGTCTCAAATTAGAATCTAGCATTTATGTTTTTTAAGAAAAAATCTTGAGACTTTTTCCTAAATGTATTTAAATCTTACCAGTGAACATGATGCTGGTTATTAAAAAGTAATTCTGGATAAATTAGCTTGCAGCTACAAAATTAATGTAATTCATTATTACTTGCAGCCACAAATCAAAACGTTGTTAACACTGCTGCATGCAATTTAATATGCACAGTAAGTTTCCATATGGCTTCAATTTTAGGTTCCCTGGTCACTACAGAGGCTCATTTGCTGAATGGTCTGTAGGCATACGAAATCAGCTTGTGCTTACTGGGAGAAAAGCTGTTCAAGGTGGTTCCTACATAGGCACAACAGTCCAAAAAGTCCCAAACCATTAACACCACTTGGGATTATCATATCCTGCCTAAGACTGAGGAACATCGACATTCATTCACAGAACTACAGATATAACCAGTGCCTATTTTAAAAAGCATCTGTAGTCTGAACTTCTATTTATCAGTTCATTCTCCTAACCATGAAGGCACATTTTTTAAAAGCACTGAGCATCCCATGTCTCTTTTAGAGACAACAGGACCAAAATATAATAAAATGTTACAACATCAGCTTTACCAAGTTTAAAAAATAAAGTCTACAAAACTTATAAACAATGGAAGAGCCTAAATTTTGACAGAGATGTATAGACCACTTGTAAGTGAGGTACTGCTGAATTTTTGCATAACATATCCAGAGTTGTGCATGCACTGTGATTAGCTTGAACACAAAAACTGGATATAGGCAATATGCTGCACATACATTTCATTATCAGTAATCTTGTTGCAGAACACTGTCATGATTGAATGAGCAGCAGTGCCCGTTTTCAAAGTCTTTTACCTTCTTCAACCACATCAAATTCCAGCAACAGTTTTGCTCTCATTTTTACTTAAGAAATCCTGCTGGAGAGAGATTACAGTAGATTTATGTCCCTAGATTCAAGTCTGATTGATGGATTACCTGACTAAGAGCAAGAGCAATAAACCAAGTTCTTTCCAAATAAGAGCAGGCCATGAGCACCAGCATCCCATGCCACAGCTCTATTCACTAGATTGTAAGCTTGCATGGGTCACAATATTCCTTCCCTCTTTCTCCTTCTTGACAAAACCCATTCAATGGAGTATATATTATAACCAAAGCAAGATATTTCAAAGAATTTTTGCTTTGTTGGAAGTTTTTAATCAGCTTTTTAAATAAAATTGTCAGAGATTCCCAGCATGCTTTCTCTTTTTCTTTCAACTGGCGCCAGCTCTGGCATGGTGATCAACATCAACAGTAAATAAGGCCAAAATCATAGGCACAGAATTATTTTCTTTCATTAACGGTTCTTGAAACTGACACTTTTTTGGTAAGACGGCATTTTTTGGTAAGACGGCATCAGTTTTGGTTTGGCATTGTTCCTCTATGTCTGGATTTCACTTATAGCTGGGAAACCACATCGAGCACAATGCCAGTTTTATCAAAACTTGGAATAAAAAGGCTGGGGCAAAAAAAGAGGCTTTCACATCCTGAGACCATAAGACATCAAGTAACAGCCTGGAAGTACCTATCAAAGAAATGAGCACGATCAGAATTAGGAGGTCAGGCTTCTCAAATGCCCATGGAGTTACTCATGAAGAATGAGAAAGAGATTTTTGATGACTCCTTATCAGAGACACATCTGAGGTGTCATTAGCTGTTGGTGGTTCAGAGTGGTTGTTGTAAGCACAGCATACATATAGATATAGATTTCCTCTCCTGTAAAATATCTTTGCCAGACCTCTCCTGGGCAGCAAAAGCATCAGCATACCATTGCAGCCAGGCTAGTCACAGATGAGGAAAAAGCATCAGAGATCACGGCACTAACAATGCTGGACCCCTGATTGTGAAGGTATTCAATACAAGAAGTCTCTGATCTAGGCTATGCTAGGATTTCAGGTTATTTTGACTAATTTCTAACCTACACTTTTGGGACAATCCCGGACTAAATTACTGTGAAAGAAGTGAGACAGATGGAGGGAAGAAAATAGAAACAGGCAGCCCATTATAACTTTATTCTTACTCTTTCCAGCACTCCTGACATCAATAAGCCCTGTCCACCAGAAGGGCATCACAGTGAAGAGAGGGCTCACGGATATATTTCACTGCATTTACACAATGATTTCCTGAAACGCGAGGGAGCGGGGGAGCTGCCTTCTTTATTTTAGTACTGTCAACTGTGAGTACAGAGAGTCTCTCTCTGGTGTTATGTTCTCGTGAGCTGGCAGATCTGTCGGGAATATAATGACGTCTGTTCATGCACCTCCATTTCTAACAACTTATTCCTCACATGCTCTCCTGATTTTCTTGAGGCATAAGGACCAGTTGACTATGCAAATGAAATAAGAGAATGTAGAAAATGAGTTTGACACAAAGGGAGTTGCTGGCAAATGCCACCGCTTCCTCCAGGCATAATGGTAAGAGACAGCTGCTTCTGCCAGCCCAGAAGCAGTAGCTGAGGGGGCTAGCACAGCTCTTTTGAAAATCTTTAGTCTGATGAATAACTAGGCAAAGGCTGCATATATTTACAAGGGAGGACCCCAAATCCAGAGCTTCAAATCTTGCTCTGCCGTTCCATGTTAGCATCCACTGTAAATGCACACAGGAGTGGTGTCAGACGACTTTCGTTGAAGTTTGTGAGTCTATTATCTTCAAGTCCTTTGTAACAGGAGGAGCAAGACAAGAAATGAACTGTGAGAATGTGAAAAGCATTGTTCTTTGCAATTTCCAAAACTGCTATTTTAAGCATACAGTTATCATTTTTGCAGCAAGATGTTATTTTTGGATCAAACATTTTGATATATGAACAATCCTAATGACTTTAGAATAAATAATCACAAAAATATTTAATCACTGTACACAATACTATGGTTTTATTTTACATTTTCATTACAGAGCTATTCCCTCGAGTAATTATCATGGCAATCGTAACTCTGATGATACATGTATTTTGTCAATCTGTCTAATAAAGAGTAGCCGAGTACTGTAACTGACATGCATACATAAATATTTTAGGATTTAGTGATTCTTAAATTGTTTTGGAATAGTTATAGTAACCAGTAAATACTGATACTTTTCTTTTACCTCAAAGAGCATCTGTCACTTGGAGAACTGGCACAATGCTTAGAGTACCACTTTGTGGAAAAAAATAACAAAAATGTTTATTGGTAGTATTAAAGGAGCGGCTTGATGTTTTTCAGCTCTGAGCAGAATAGCTGTCTGGAGTGCCACATGTTATGATCAGTACACAAATACAAAATAAAATCCTTCCACTGGGGAGACCTTCATTTCAAACAAGGGAGAAAATAAAATTCTCAATATTAAATTATTAAAAGCATACCATATTGGGAAAAAAATAAAAATGGACATTTGTGCTCTCACCTTTCCTGAGAGGATAGGGACATATGATACTTTTTAAAGTCCTAAAGTTAGCAAGTGGTAAATAAAATTCACATTTCCTGATTTTCCATCCTTTCCTCAGCGTTTCCCATGAAATGTGGCAGATCTCAGCTGAGATTATGTGTGCTTGCCAATAGAAGGCCAGATCACTTCAGCAAGAGTCTGCCCTTGTTCCTACCAGCAAAACTCCTTTAAACACATTGGATTTACTCAAATATTAATGGGGATAAGAATAAAAACTTGCATTTAGTTCTGCCAAAGTTCAACATCCTCCACACTTTTAGTCAATAAAATCCAAACATCCTGTCATAACATTCCCTTTTCTTTTCACTTTCCTCAGAACATTTCATATTTGTGAGCTGGCACCATTACTACAGTTTAAACACATGAGAAAACCCAAGATGAAACGGCTGTCCCAAGAAGTTACAAACTGAGCAGAAACCTAGTGATCCACTTCCTGAACCAAGATGAACCCAGATTCCTTAAATCAGATTTCAGACATGTGACTGAGCTACTTTGGCTTAATGGCTGCCATGCATCAGCTGAGCCCCAGTGAAAATAGTTGAAATTAGCATGTGCTACCCTACATTTGCAACAGCTCAGCTGCTACATAGGAACTCATTAAGCTATGGTAACTTGCTCAAGAGTCTGAAACCTCAATCTGATGCTCTACCCAGTGGCCCACAAAACTACCCAAATCATGCTCTCTGCCTCCATGCCAATAAGCCTCCTGAGCCCATCTTTCACAAAATAAGGATGAGCCGAAGAAAATAAGCTCAGTACACTTTTCCAGTGAGATGCTTCAGAAGATTTATTCAGATAAGCAGCTAGATCTGGATCTCTCTGCAATTCAAATAAACTTCATGCATGGTACTAGAATGTCTTCATGTTCTTTGTCTTCTGTTTTATATACCATATTTTCTTCTTGATCCCACCAACAAATATTACACTATAGATAGATTCCTTATTCCTTAATTATTAAAATTTCTCCTTGTGATCTCCTCAAGATGTACTTCTCCAGAACGCTTCAAGCAACTGCTTTTTCCTGTGGAAGAAATGAAAATAAAAAATATATACTGACTAATTCTTCATTTAGAAATCCAGTTTCAAGCTGTCTCTATCATTCCTTCTTCCTCTCTAAACCATCTATTAATATATTATCTATTAGAAATGTAGTACAGCAAACTTTACTTCAGCTGGCACCATATGAAATGCACATCCTGATCCTTGAGCCTTGTATAGGAAAGAGGGCCCATAAACGTTCTTGCTTTCTTTCTTAATCTCTCTTTTGGAGTATTGTAAGTGTATCATTTATTAAATATAGATACAGAGAACATTAAAGTGTTATGCAAAATTAATTTATCTTTTATTTCTTGTTATTTTTCCTGTAATATCCCTGAAGATAATTAAATTATATTAGATGCAGAGCAAAAGTGAATATCCCAATATACCTGACCCAGTATAGCTCAGCCTCTGCCTTTTGTAAGGCATGAGTTTCAACCTTGGGGGAAGTGTCATCTCAACAATTATGTCTCTAGGTTAAAAAGATTTGATTGAGCTGAGAAATTTTGCACATATATGTAATTACCAGGATAAGATTTGCAATTTTTCAAGTCAACTAATACAACAACAAAATCATATTTTGGAGTGGGTAAATGTGGGGAGACCAGTTACTGTCTGGTGCCTCAAATGTATGCAGCTCAAAAAAAGCAGGCTGGTCTTGTTCCATCTGGCAGCATTATCATAGCAATTTCAGCAGGTAAATATCATTTCAGCTTTGTGCTGTGGCACAAAAGCATTGATTATCTGCGAGTTACCCCTTAACATACTATGATAATTTTCCTAGACTTGTGCCTCATCAGCTCGCAGGGAACTAAAGACCTGTTTAGCTTTAGGAGTACTGCCCAGGGCTGTGCTAGTACAAGTTCTGCTAAGAATTGCATTTTCCTGAGGGAAGAAATAGGGAAGGGGGGGATTGCTGTAGTATTTCACCTGATTGAACTGAGACCTTGCTTATTCCCCAGCTCAGTCCCACCAGCTGTGAAACAATGTGACTCTAAAGGAGCTGTGGCCATTACCAGTCTTCACTTGTTCTCTCAGCTCTCTGAGGGAGATGCCTCTTATTGCTTCTATGAAGCAATGTCATGGATTTAGGGGTCAGCCTGTCCATCAGGGCATCCTGCAATCTCTCCATTGTCCTACAGAGGAGCCAGGAGGCAGCTGTCAAAAGTCTCTAACCAGGCAAGAATGGCCAGGGAAGGGGCTGGCCCCAGGCTTGCTTGAGATAGACACCAAATAGTCTTTCCTGGTGGCAATTTGTTCACATCATTGGCAGGTTTTGAAACTGTATTCATAGCAAAACTTCTGGGAAAAGTCAATAAAAATTTTGTCCTTTGTCATCTCCATGAGGGGAATCCATACTTTAGTTTGATCAGTAGTAGCTAGAATGATGGAGAAAATGAGATGTGAATCCCTTTCAGCAAAAGGAAAAGGGTATCTGTCCCTGAGTGCTTCTCTTCCAGGAGCATAAAAGTGTACAAATGAAAATAAATATGTTTTATAATAAAAAAGGCAAATAGGGAATACGCCCCCCCAAAAAAATGAACAGAGCAGAACAGAATAGGAATAGAATAGAATAGAATAGAATAGAATAGAATAGAATAGAATAGAATAGAATAGAATAGAATAGAATAGAATAGAATAGAATAGAATAGAATAGAATAGACTCACCACACTAAAAATATTACTGGAGACAAAATCAAATGCATCTTATTGCATTTTGCCAGAGCTAGGAAGAGAGTACCTAGCTTATAAATTCCATCAGGAGCTTGGGGATTTTTGATATAATGAGTTCTACAGTTTCAGAGGAGACTGCTTTGCTAATAATTATGTAACAGTAATTAAATCTGAAAAAGGTTGTACTCTAACTATGTTGATTTATTGCAGCTCCAACAAAATACTTCTAGAGTGTGCTTTGGAGCGTGCACCTCCTCCCTCCAGTTTTCTTTAAATTCTCACAGAGCACTGGGTCACAGATGGTCTGAGATGCGATATTTTCCCTATTAAATTCCTAATAATCTTTTTCCGAGGCTGAGTCATGGAAGCCTGGGGATTTCTCATTTTAATTAGAAGGTTTAAGGAGCTAACTCTGTTTGAAATTTCCTCTTAGGAGATATGGGTGCAGGTGATCCCATTCAGGAGAATGACACAATATCAAGGCCAACATCTCATTTCCATATTAGATTGCATCTAGTTTGGCATAACTCCTGATCTGGATGCTGATGATATGCCGCCTGAGTTGAAGGCATAACATTTCACCATTTGAAAACAGAATCATTTTAGGATTATATCTGAAGACATTTCTAGGCTCTAGGTGGATGTTTCCTACCCTACCACCATGCTCCATCGACCTGTGTAGAAACTATTATAAATGTGAATTCTTTATTAGACTGATTGAAACAATTATTCTGTATTATTTGGAAACAGCACTGTTAAAGATGCTCATACAAAGAGACATAATATATTGTCCAAAGGGTTGATCCTCTCAGTATTGAAGATATTAATGTTTCAGATTAATTTTGTCTGCAAATATTATAAGCTATAGAAATAGAACACGCACCTAGCAAAATGTTTTATGTACAACTTTAGCATTCACAGTATGTGAAGAACAATGTCCCACCTCTGCCATCCAAAGAAAGTTATTCTTAGGCCCTCATAGCCGAGTTTGATCATTTCATAGAATGCCTGATGTTTAAGAGTTAGTCTGGTGTACTATTCACATGTCCCTTGACAGTCTATTGTGAAAAAAATCCTGCTTCTTATAAGACAGCTGTTGAAGTTTCATCAGCTTACACTCTACAGCAAATTCCTGTGCTTTAGGAAAACAAAGAACATCTCCTATTCTTCCAGCATGGTATGCAGTTGTCACGAAGTCTAATGAGACATTATTTGCCTTTTATAGCACTTTATAGGTATCTTTTCAGTTTTCAACAGACAGAAGTTACTGTGATTTGGGAAAGTAAAAAATTTCACCCACTCTCAACTGCACCACTTACACATGCTAAAAATAAAATTTTATTGGAAGTAGTACTGCGGCATATAGACTTGGCTGTGAATAAAAGAAATAACCTTTTCTACATTAAATCCTACCAGTTGTGCCATCTCCATGAATGAGTTTTTATAAGCCTGAAGTTTTAATTTTGTTATGCATTTTAAAAATACTCTGCATGTAATTGTTCAAAAGCTTAAGTTGACATAAATTGTTTAAAAGATTTCATTTCTACATATAATCCATTCATCTGTATATGCAATACTTATGCCCTTGTTGCAGAAATGTTTTAAAGATTTGGGATTTAATATAATGGCAAGTATTTCTCTTATGTGTTACAGAATCTTTAAACAAAGACACAGAATAGTGCTTTATACTGTTTTCCAAAGATCAAATCCATCCTTACTGTCTGCAAATCGCAGCCTGCAAATGCCTCACAAATAGGGTTGCCCTCAGTAAAGTGCTACACTGCTTGTGAAGGAGGAAGAAGCCAGACTAGTTTTTTTGCAAGAAAAGTCAACCCTTGCCTGGAATATGGTGAGAAATAAGAATTTGGCCCTACCCTATATTGTACATAATATTTTGTGTATGAAACATCAATGTGTGAACTGCAAAACCAGCCATTCTTCTGAATGCCCACGACCCCAAGCTGATGCTGTAAGAATTGGCTGGATTTGTCCACTTGCTTCATAATGCCTTTTGTTAAGCCCAGGAAGGAGGTGGCTGGTGCTAGCTGCCTTCCCAAGACACTCCCATGGAAGCAGCTTGGCCTCTGTGGTCTATTGTTATAACACCATCTCTTGCCATCGGAGGGAACGTACATCCCATGCTGTAATTGTGTGGAAATTCCAATTGTGTTAATTTCTCCCAAAACCAATGTAGGGAGCAAGAAGTCCTGCTTTTTAGGCCCCATTCACATAACAGTTGAGATGCAAAATTAATTTTTCCACGGAGGGCCAGCAGAAAACACAAGCAACAACAGGTTTTTTCCAAAGCAGTTAGCTTCCAATAATTTTCTCCCCCTTGAAGGTCCAAACTATTAAAACAAAAAAGAAAAGTAGATTTAAAATACTCAGTAAAGCAAAGAGTTAAAGTGGCAGATGAAATCAGGTTCTGTAATGAGTTATAGGGAAAATGTCTCTGAGTTCTGATTAATGACTGGGGACACCTAGAGCTGCTTTGGCTGTCTCAGCAGTACATGACTGGTGCATCAGGGTAATGTCTAATAACTAATCTTTGACACCAGAATTAAGTCATTTTGCAAGAAAGCAGGTCATTAGAAGCTAAATTGAAATATAAGTAATACGATCTCTGTGGAGGATTGTAAATTAATTGGTTTTTAACAATAACACTTCTGTATTTTATTAAAGCAGTGTAAGAATTCAGAGAAGAAAAGAATGTAGCAGATAAACAGGGCAGGTGTTGATGATGCAAATGAAATAGATGACAGATGGTTAGTAGCACGATCACTCACTGTGTGTGTATAATGGATAGAGGTAATCAAATTCCTTTGTGAATTGGTGACTTTCTTTACATCAAGAACTATAACTGT